GAGAGCATTAGTTTGTGCCCAGCACTGCTCTAAATACGTCACATACATGAGCTCATTTAGTCATCAGAGCACCCTATGAGGAAGGCACTATTAGCATCCCCATTTCACAGGGAAGGAAACTGAAGTACTGAGAAGTAACTGAGCTCAAGGTCACAGAGCTGGTTTGTAGCCATCTTCAGACGTTAACTCAATCTGACTTCAGAGTCCCTGCTTTTAGTTGATTTTAACTACCATGCTAAGGAAGGAATAACAGAGATAATAAAAAGAAAATCCAGCCCTTATGGATCTCATCCGATGTGACCATGAATCATTTTACTTAGTCTCCCGAAGCCTCATGTCGTCATCTCTCTCACTGTGATGCCAGTTTCACAGGTGAGGAAACTGAGGCACACAGCACTCATGCCATTGTGTGTGGGGTACTGCTAGGACTGACCACAACACAGATCCAGAGCTTTTAACTCCTCTGGGGCACCAGAAACTTCTTATAACATACTCTGGAGAGGTTTTTTCCCCTCTTTTTAATCTTCGTGGTCATTTCTGTGAATAGCAGTGTTTTATCAGGAGAAGCCAAAAAGAAAAAAATCAAGCCCATAAGAAATACACTTCAGCTACAAAAACCCCAGGGTGAACTTAAAATAAAGAAAATGAAACCCATGCAAAGGCTGAACGAGAGCTGTGAACTTTTTTCTTTTAAATTTATTGTCTATTCCGTGGAGGGGCAGTGTTATTCAAACAGATACAGATCTCAAGCCAGGGCCTTTTGGGGTGATAGCTGTGTGAAAGTTTTTGAAAATTTATGAGATTAGCTAGAAGACCCAGTGGGAGGCATCCTGGCCTGTCTAATGCCTGCTCTCCCATCTTCCATAAGATGCTCCGTTGCTGTGTCTCAGTTTACTCATCTGAAAAATGATGAGGTGAGTTCCATGAGCATCTTTTTTGCTTCTATAAAATTTTATATATTTTTTTCTTTTTTTGAGGCAGGGTCGTGCTCTATTGCCCAGGCTGGAGTGCAGTGGGGTGATCATGGCTCACTGCAACCTTGAACTCCTGAGCTCAAGCAATTCTTCCACGTCAGCCTCCTCAGTAGCTGGTACTACAGGTGCACACCACTATGTCCAGCTAATTTTATTTTTAAAGACAGGATCTTGCTCTATTGCCCAGGTTAGAGAGCAGTGGCATGATCACGGCTTACTGCAGACCTGACCTCTCAGGCTGAAGTGATCCTCCTACCTCAGCCTCTCAAGTAGCTGAGACTACCGCATGCATCACTAATTCTAGCAAATTCTGATTTTAACTTTTTTTTTTTTTTTGTAGAGATGGGTTTCACCAGGTTTCCTAAGCTGGTCTTGAACTCCTGGACTCAAGCAATAAATACACCTGCCTTGGCCTCCCAAAGTGTTAGAATTATAGGCCAAAAATATCATTTTAATTCTTAGAAAGGAAAAAAGATTCATGCTAACTTCTCATTATGGGCCAATTTCACAAAATCAGCATTTTCAGGCCTAAAAGTTCATAAACCTCAATCTTTTTTATTTCCTTTTTCCTCTGAGAAACTAAGCTCAACCAGCGTCTTCCATTCTGAAATGCTCTCAGTAGTTTGAGAGTTTATTTCTCCTCTGGAACAGCTCAAAAAAAAAAAAAAGTTAATAGGAAGCACATGGGCATGGTGTGTGAGCGTTTTGTGTGTTTGTGTTTGAAAAAAATACTTAAGGAGGGATATGTCAGGCTTGCAAAATGCCTGGGCTGTCTCAAGAGCAGTTTATAGCCATTAGCATCAGACCGAAGGCAGTTAATTGGGACAAAGCCCAGCTGCTGCCGCTGCCCTTCTGTCATCTGGCTGCGAGAAGGATAAGAAAATAACCTGAATGATTCCCATGGTAGGGCAGGAGCAGAGCTGGACATGTTGGCTGGTGGGGATGGAGGTGGGGGCTGGGGCCCTAGGCTCACCCCTGAGAATCACCTTCTAGACGGATCTAAGAGAGTGTGAGGGGCAGGCTGGTGTGAGGGTTATGTGCCTGGGCAACTGCCTGGCTCAGTTTCCACTGCCATGGCTGTGTGACCTTGGGCAAGTTACTGGAACACTTCGTGCCATAGTTTCTCCACCTGTAAGATGAGGGCAGTGATAGTGCCCATGTCATGGGGCTATTGGAGAGATTAAGAGGCATGGTTTATGTGCAGACCTTAGGACAGTGCCTGGAGTCCTGAAGGAGTCCAGAAAATCTCATCATTTAGAGGAAGCAGCACAGGTCCTAGAATTCTAGAAAGCAGTCTGAATCCCAGCTCCAAACCTTTATCAGCTCTGTGGTTTTGGGCAAGTCACTTTCCCTCTCTGAGCCTCACTTTCACCATCTATGAAAGCAGGGCTGATGGTGCCCACCTCACGTGGCTACTTTAAGGACCAGAGGAGAAAGAACGCTACTCTGCATATCCTGGTCTGTGGAGGATAGGATAGGCTCCTCTGCATTCCCTGAACACTGTGAGCCTTTTCCTGCCATGGGGACTTTGCTCTTGCACTCCCACTGCCCGCTTGGCCTGGTTCCGGCCCCTCCTGTGGCTGCATCCTTTCCATCGGGAGGCCCCTGACCACCTGGTGAATGCCAATACCACTCCCGCCCTGCTCACGGTCCAACATGCTGCCCTGTTTTTGTCTGTCATAGGATTTATAAAAATCTATAAGCATCTATCTGTCAATTGATTACTGTCCATCTTTATCCACAAGGGCATTGTCTTTGTGGGCTGCTGTATCCTCTGTGCCTAGAAGGGTGCCAGGCATCAAGCTGATGCTCAACATAAGGAATGAATGAATGAATGAATGAATGAATGGGGGCCCCTCCTACATAACTTAGATCACTTGTGTGGCTGAGGGGGTGTCAAATGGGATAGGGGGACTGGGTTTCCGGTTCAAACTCTGTGACCTTAGGAGCCCTGAGACAGTAAGTCCAGTTTCTATTTGAAGAGCTGGAAAGAAATTGGCTTGAGATGGACTCAAATGCAAGTTTAAGTTCCATGCCTTCACACACCTCCTATTATTGGGACTGGTGCCATCATTCACTCCCTACTTGGAGAGACGGGTCCTAGCAGTTCACTCCTTCCAGTGGGGCTCAGAAAGGCCATGACTGGGGACACAGAGGTGACAGCAGAAGCAGAGGAGTCAGGAGAGTGCCGTGGTTACAGGTATGGGCTTTGCAGTGAGGCTGGGGCTTGGGAGATCTGACACTTTTGACCTTTGCCATTACATTTACAATAAAATCTAAACTCCTGGCCCTGGTGTTGGACAAATGAGTCATTCCTTCTATGCCTCAGCTTTCTCTTCTGTGAAATGGGAATAATACAGTCCCATCACTTGAGAGCATCATGAAGGTTGTATGAGAGAATCCACACAGCATCGGCTGGCACCTAGCATGTTCGGTCAAGGCTAGCTCATGGCATCACCAACAAACTTGGACATAGACCTTTCCAGGAAGCTATTCCCAAGGCTGGACATGAATGCTTATCGCCTGCTTTCCCTACACAAATCTCTAAGATTATTTGTTTTCCTTTCACATTTTTTTTTCCTGAAATGCTGCCCTTGACAATCATTTTATTACTTCCTTAATAAAAAATTAAAATAAAAAAAGATGAAATGATAATACTTGCAAGTAGTTTCTTTTCTGTCACAGGCTTTATCAAAATCTAAAATTATCTACGTTTATCAAGTGATTACTGTCCATCTCTTTCCATGAGGGGATTGTCTTTGTGGGCTGCTGTGCCTGCCGTGCCTAGAAGGGTGCCAGGCATCAAGCTGGTGCTCAACATATGGAATGAATGAAGAACTCCTCCTACGTAACTTACATCATTTATTTCTTTTAAAAGAAAAGTGCCATCAAAGCTGGGTGCAGCAGTGCACACCTATAGCCCTAGATACTCTGGAGGCTGAGGTGGCAGAATCACTTGAGCCCAGTCTGGGCAACAAAGCAAGACTCTGTCTCAGAAAAAAAGTACAATCACTTATCAGCCTACCATCTTGCCATTTTACTTTTTCAGATACTTGATAGTCATTTTTAGCAGCTTAAAGGGAAACAGCAGAATCGGGATCCCCAAAATTATAGCCACCAGCCCTCTGCTCCATGCATCAACTCCAGCATACTCCCAAGGGAGCATCAGAACAGAGAAGGCCCCTTGGATGGTAAAAGAGTGGAGGTGAACATGGGAGAACCCAGAGAGCCAGTTCCTTATGGCATGTGGGAGGAGGGTTACAAAATGAAGTTCTTTCTTCCTTAAGGCCACCCTCGGGGGCTGCACAGCCTTGAACCTCCTGCCTGAAGTAACAGCATCTTTACCTCACTGTCCAATATTTCTACCTTCCGACATTTCTGAGTCTCTATAACAGACTTCTCTGGCCCATCACACTTAAAATACAAGCAAACTCTTTCCCATATGCCTCAAAGCCATGCATGATCGCGCTTTGCTCTTTCTCTAAGATATTTTCTTCTTACATGCCTTCTGACTTTGCTCTAGTCTCATGGGTCTCAGGTCTGTGCCTCGAATACATCCAGACATTTCCCTGCATGCAGCATTTGCACAGGCTGTTCCTTCTGCCTTGAATGTTCTTCTCTAAGATTTTTATGTGGCTGCTCTGCCTCATCCTTTGGGTTTCTGTCCAATGTGGTCTCTTCAAAAAGCCTTCCCTGATGATTTGATCTAAAGTTACAAATCTCACCTTTCCTGACCTCCCAAGTGCTCATCACTCTCTATGCAAAGACCAGGTTTATTTGCCTTATTACATTCAACCCCCTTCCAAGATCATCTGGCTTATTTGCCGACTTTATCGTTAGTCTTTCCCCACTTCCAGATAATGACCATGGAGGCAGATCTCATATCTATTTCGCCCACTACTTGAGATAGAGCCTGGTACATAGTAGGCGTTCAATAAATCTGCTGAATGAATGAATGAATGAATGGACACCCAGCTTAGGTGGTGCCTTAGAGACAGGCAGGGAGGGGCCAAGCGCCACACTGACCGTGCATCTGGTAGGTGTATGGGCTCTGTCCAGTGGGTGGGGTGCTGAAGCTGGAGCCATAGCTGAGGAATCCACTCTGGCCAGGGGAATGGTTCAAGCCATCTTCTGTCTTGATGCCTTTGAAGGAAGAGGGAAAAAAAAGCACCAAGGACACAAGATTAGGATGTGTCCTTGTCACACACAAAAAAGCTATTGGGTCCAGACAGCATGCAATTTTATCAGCTTCCAAATGAGGAGTTGCAAACTGGTGGTTTGTCAGCCAAAGTTAGCCTACAGACATATTTTACTTGTCCTGCATATTTTTAAGAAAAACTAAATTAGTTGATTTTGTTTGAAAGTCAGGATATTCTGTACACAAAAGTCTGGACTTATGGCTTCTTTTTGAATGACAAGATGGTCTAGTAACACCATGTCTGCATTGTATGTGACCACAAGCTGCCCCTGTGGGCTCCACAATTCACGTTTCTCAGGTCATCATAGGTTCCGTTCTATCTGCATGACTTTGAGGTTGGTTTTAAGGCGCTATTTTCTCACTGCAGTTGTGATTTTTTTTTTGTTACATCCTAGGGCACTAACAAAAGTGGAGAATGGAAAAGCAGGCCACGAAGGTCTCATATTTTTACATGCTGCCAGCTTCATGCTACCTGCCAGCTTGGTAGGTAGGCAAGCCTGCAGCCCACTACGCCACTGAGTAGTGCCGTGTATGGCTTAAATGTCCATTAGGATTTTGGGCAAAGGTGTGAAATGAACCACCCTTCCTCTGCAAAGATGATGTCACTTAAGTGTAAGACACACTCTCCAATCTTCTCACAGGGAAACCTGCTTATCCCAAAGCCACAGTTACAAATCTGCCTTCTGCTTCAGCCAAACTCAGCATACTTACCTAAAGCATAGGTACTAATTCTACGAACAATTGGCTGAGAAAGGGACTGTGTTGAAGGGGAGACACTAATCATCATCAGCTCATTCACTTAATTTTTATTGAAAATGTAATGGATGCATTGTAGAAAATTCCAATAGTACGAAAGGCGTAGAGCGAAGTATCTCTTCCTACCCCGACCTCTCAGGTCTTCTGCCTACCGGCAACCACTATTATCAGCTTTATGGAATACAGTTCACTTCCAGACAGGTTCTGTGCATATACAAACTTATGTTTATAATATATATATATATGTAATGTATGTATCTATTCTATATTTTAAAAATAAATAGGAGTATTCAACAAATTCTGTTCTACATTTTCTTTTTTCTTTTGCTGCTTCACAATATGTGATGGTGATCATTCTCCATGAGCTTATAAAGTTCTTCCTTATTCTGTATTTATGGCTGTGTGACATTCTAATGTGTGGTTTCCCCATAATTTAACCAGTTTCCTATTCATTAACTTTTGGGTGGCTGTGAGATTTTTATGACTGTAATTTAAGCAGCAACAAATACACACATAACACACACACACATGCAACAAATGTGTATACATACACAGATATACATGCAGAAAATATATTCAACATATAGATGTATCTATATGCATATACATACGTATTTGCATTAGCTTATAGTAAAACACACACACACACCACACACACACACACACACACACATTTTTGTGCACATGTGCAAGTCTATCTTTTAGGTGAGTACCCAGTGGTTGGAGTCGCTGAGTCCAGGGGCAAGAGCATCCTAAATTTTCTTGGATGCTGCTGAATGATGCTCCCTAGATTGTAGGTGGACATTCTCTCCAGGCACTGGGTGAGTCCTGCTTCTCCACAACCACATCCAATGTGTTATCAAACATTGCTTATCTCTGTCTATCTTACAGGTATAAAACAGTAACTCACTGCTGTTTAAAATTTCATTTCTTTCAAGAACATTTCCAGTTCTGTTGATGGTTTCCTTATTGAAATTTCCTCCTTCTTACCCTGTCAACCCCATAAAATAAGATAATGCTTAGTAAGGTAAAGACAGATGGATTCTGAGTCAGGAGATCTCGGCTGGAGTCCTAGATGGTTTGCTTAATTGCTTGGTGACCCAGAAAGTTTCTCCTGCATCCCCAGGTTGGAGGTCTCCTTTCTTATGAAATGATGGGTTGCTAGGAAATTAAAGTAAGAGGAAAGAATGAACATACAAAAGCTCTGAATGAAGTAATTAAAGCTCACATCAATCCCACAAAACAGGCAATATTACTTCCCTCATTTTAAAGATGTGGGAATTGAGACTGCCAATCCATCTGATTGGGGTCTTGCAATTGGCAGGTAACTGAAGTCAAGGTTCCTTATCTTCACACTTCTCAATACTGGTGTGAAGGAGTTTATGCTATTGATGGTGCCAGACTTCAGTAACAACAATGATGACAGCCACAAGCAGTATTTACACAGCACCTTCTTTTTGCTCAGTCCACTAGGAGTAGTTAACATTGCACTGGGTACAGTCTGCCTCCCTGGGTACCTAAAGCAAAATTGAAACTCTGCAGTGACCCTACGTGGGCTCTGCCCACTCGTCCAACATCACTGCCTTTCCTGAGCTCCTTCGCTCACTCTACTTAAGCCATATGCTCAGACACCCTGTTTGTTTTAGTGACGGGATGGAAAGCCAAAGTCGGAAGTATCACTGCTTGTTCAGCCAGTCCCCTGATGATGAACTCCAGGTTGATTCCGGTTTTTACCATCACAACCCAAGATGAAATGTACATACTTCCTCAAGCAACCTCAGAGTGCTTGTCTTGGTTGTATACAAGACAGAAGTCGCTGCATCTAAGGGTACCTACAGTGTCCATTTTAAAAAGATACAAACAAACTGCAACAACGTCTTTGGACTCAAAGCCTTTGCATATGTTGCTTCCTCTGCCTGGAGCCTACACCTCCCTCTTCTCTATCAGGCAAATATTGTTTCCCTAGAAAAGCCTTCTATGACCCAAGTCAGCCCTGAGTAGCATGAAGTTCTCCTGCTTGGCACTCATCCCAGTTCACTGTTGAACCTCTGCTCTCTGTTTAGGCTGGGGGCTCCAGGAGGGCGGGGCTGGGTCCCTCTTGTACATTGTAGTCTCCCCATATGTGGCTCCCTGTCTGGCACATAGTACGTACTCAAAAACTGGTGAGTGAACAACTGTCAAAGAAAAGAAAATGAAGTTTTTCACCTCTTCTTTTGTTTGCTGAAGGGGTTGGAGCATAACATTCTAATCTGTGAGAAAGAGAAGAGAATATGAAAATGGCAAAGGCACACAAGGGGCTCAGTCCCGTAGGTCTGCTGTCTAGACTGTGGTCTATGCATTGGTCACAAGTTCAGAAAGAAAGAGTCAGGCACTGAGAAGTAAACATCCAGGAACTCTTGCAGCAACTTGGGATTACTCTGACATCGAAGGCTGTTTCTCTAGGCTTGTGTTTAAAAAAACTTTAATTTGGCTGGGTACGGCAGCTCACGCCTGTAATCCCAGAACTTTGGGAGGCAAAGGCGGTGGATCACTTGAGGTCAGGAGTTTGAGACCAGCCTGGTCAACAACATGATGAAACCCCATGTCTACTAAAAATAAAAAAATTAACTGGGTGTGGTGGCGCATACCTGCAATTCCAGCTACTCAGGAGGCTGAAGCACGAGAATTGCTTGAAACCAGAAGTGGAGGTTGCAGTGAGCTGAGATCACATCACTGCAGTCCAGGCTGTGTTACAGAGCAAGACTTCATCTCAAAATAAATAAATTTAAAAAATTTTAATTGGATTTTTCTAGCAATTCATTTTATTTTACTGAAGTATCGGCCCGTGGTGGAATGGAAATTAAAAAGCACAAACCCCAAAACTGGTCTTTTAAACCGGATGGAGGAACACTGTGCTAAGACCGTGTTAAAAAAAAAATCTGGTCATGGTTTGGCCCAGGGAAAGATTGATCTCATCAGACCTCCTGCTTTCCAGGCATCTCTGATGAATATCTTCACAGCAAAGAGAAAGAGGCCTCTGAAAGGTGCTCGTGAACGACCTGCAAGTTCCTCTGGCTTCCGCTCATGGACGCACCGAAGTGAGCGTATGGATTTCAGAGAGGGCGTCAACAACACAGAGCCAATAAGGACTCATTCACTCATTTTACAACTATTAGCTCAGCACCTGCAACACGCCAGGAGACACAGATCTTGATGCTGGAGATACTGAGTGGTTGGGGCTTATATGCTAGTGGGAGGAGGATGACAGTAGAAAAGTAAGTAAAACACATAGTTGAGGAGAAGCATACAAAATATTTTTTGGGTAACACAAGAGAGAACATGATTGGCTCCCAGACTCCCTGGCACACTCAGTGGCACACACTTTTCCTTCCTATCTATGAACCTCACACTAACACAATCCTCTAAACAGGAATACTTTTTTTTGGCTCCATTTAGAGTCTTATGGTGCTAAAAAGAAGAATGAAGCGGGGAAGGAGGTAGCAAAGTTCGCTAAGGGGAGTTGAGAATTGAAATTCCGGAGTGATCCGGAAAGGTGCCATGGAGGAGGAGGAAGAGGTCCCATGGAGGAAGAGACATTTGAAGAAAGACTTGAAGGAAGCAAGGGAGCAAAACTTATGGACACCTGGAGGAATACCTGTCCAGGAAGAGGGAACAGCATGTGCAAAGGCCCTGAGGTATGTTGGATGAGTAAACAGCAAGAAGGCCAGCGTGGCTGGAGTGGAGTGAGGGTTGCGGAGAGGGTGATTGATGAGGTCAGAAATATCATCAAGGTGGAGGCGGGGCAAAGCTACTGTAGTGGAAAACCTTTGGCTTTGATCCTGAGAGGGGCTGTGGAGGACTCTGAGGAGAGACAGGAGATGATTTGTGTTTAAAATATTAACAGCCCCCTGAGCAGGTGCTCAGTGATGTGAATTCTGGATCAGCCCATGGCACATGGCACAGCCCAGAGTCCTCGTTTACTGTCCTGGCTCTGTAATATCACGGAAGTAGGTGCCCTCTGCTTTCCAAGCCTCTGTTTCCTCATGACTACCATGAGGGTTTTGGACCAAATTAGTGCTTCCCTGTCTCCAATGTTGTACACCACTTGCTTGGTTTTCCATATCCCAGCACCATCCATGTAATGATTCCTTTCCTGTATTTTTAAACATCAGGCCAGGCATGGTGGCACATGCCTATAATCCCAGCACTT